CATAGATTACTGTATGTTACTGTAGAAAACGATTTTCCTTTCGTAGTTTTTTTTTTGCAAACAATCACGTCATGCAGACAAGAATCTGCATTGAAAAAGAATTAGCTTTCTACAGTAACCTACAGTAATCTTCGCGAACACCGTTCAATCAAATTTAAGACAGAAAATTCGGAAAAATTGAAAAAGAATCTTCAAAAAAAAAAGCAGAAAAAATTTAAAAAGTCTAAAAATTTTGCGAAAAATTGAAGGAAAAATGAATTTTTCTGATTTTTCAGTTTTGGCGGCGATTCGAAAAAAGATTCGAAATCCTTCCAGAAGTTTCCAGACAATAGGCGAAAACTGAGAATTTTCGCTTTTCGAAAAGAAATTTACCTTGAAAGTTATAAATCTGGAATACAGTATTATTCGGGATTTTAATGGGGTTTTAAAATTTTTAATTTGAACCAGTTTCTGTAAATTTAGACCTCAAACGTTCAATTTTCAGTTTGCGGAATGCGGGCCCACGACAAATGTGCCGAAGACGTCAAACGTGTGTGTGCAGGCGTCCTCTCCACTCGCTCCAAATTCGAGCTCAATATCAATTTATGTGAGGAACGGAGTCTGGCAGAACAAGAGTATCAGTGTGCCGAGTGCTCTGCACCAATCTGTTTCGATGGTACCAGTGAACAGGAAGCACGTCTTTGTGACTATTCCGGAGAACTATTCTGCCCAAATTGTCATTGGAATGACACGTGGAGCATTCCGGCAAGAATCATTCATAATTTGGATGCCACCCCAAGACCCATTTGTCGGGCTGTCAAACAGCTATTGTCGATTGTGGACCATCGACCATTGATTGATATTAACGAGTCGACATTATCACTGATTAAATTTCATAAGGTATCTATGTCACGAATTAATAAGCCACGCCCCCTTTTTCTTTAGGAACTCCGCCGTGTCAACGAGCTTCGTCGCAATTTCCTCCTGATGAAGTGCTACTTTGTTAGCTGCCGTACCGCCCGCCGCCTGCGAATCCTACAGTACCTCCAGTCGCACTCTCATTTCGTTGATAACGCTGTGATGTATTCATTGAAAGAGCTCCGGGAGCTGTGTGAAGGGAAACTGCTTCCCGAACTCGAGCAGATTCATACAGTGTTCAGAAAACATATTGAGGAGGAATGCGAGACCTGCGCTGGAAATGGATTCTTCTGCGAACTCTGCGACGATGTGGAGAGTCAAGAGAATCCCAAGGACAAGGTTTTGTATCCATTCACCGAGAATACAAGATCCTGTGCCACGTGTCTTGCGGTGTACCATAAGAAATGTTTCGAGAGGAAGAGTCTAAATTGTCCTAGATGCGAACGTCGCCGTCGACGAAGTGAAATTCCGAAGACGTTGACCACCAGCAGCAGCAGTGATGAGAAAGAGACAGCGGCGGGGATTTGAATGTTTTTTGAATTTATAACCTATTAATGATATTGTCTGTGAAATAATATGAGTAATACTGTAAATAATTATAATACATGTGATATTGAATAAACGAGTATAATTTTTTTTTTCCGAACAAGGAACATCTTGGGATTTGAAAACAAACAAACAGCAAACGAGATTGAGACGGCTCGGGCGGCTCAAAAAGTTAGGCTCCGCCCATTCTTTGAGGGAGTCGAATATCCGAGAGGAGTGTTTGTTATTTTTTGTCTAGGATGCGGGTTCTTATTTTTTCATGATTCTAATAAAATTTTTCTTATCCTGAACTCCTATAAAAAAGCCCCATAAAGTAAAAATAAGTATTTTTACTCCCAAGTGCATCTTCTTTTTCTTCTTCTTCACCCTCATCTGGAGTCTTCTTCTCCCCCCAACCTTTTCATCTTCTGACGTCTTCTTCTTCAGAATCCTCCTCCAAAACGTTTCTCTGCGTCTCTCCCCTCTCTCCTGTTTTACTGCCACGTCACGGATGGATGAGTATGAATGACTTTTTTGGAGGCTTTTTTGGGTTTGGACTCAGTATATATCATTTGACATTTTCAAACTTTTTGCCTTTGAAATTTCATTAAAATGTTTCAATAGAAATTTCAAAAAGAAATGTTTAGGAGGTCTGAATAATTAATATGACAACCGATTTTTGGTCAAAAATGCTTCAAAATTTAGTGTAGCTCTGAGATAAGGTTCTATTTCACTTTTAAAGGTTTTTTTTTCAAAATGTAGTTTACCGAAATAGTGCCTTCTTATTGTTAGATTTTTTCTAACTCCACCTGAAAGCGAATTACCGTACTCTGCAATATATAGAATGACCCCTCCTAATTATGAGCTAATTTATCTCGGTTCCTGTAAAAGTTATCAAAAAGTGACCAACCGGCAAAATATTTGTGATAATATGATGAACATTTTGTTAGTGAGCCACTTTTTGATAACTCTTACAGGAGCTGAGATATATGGGATCAAATTAGAATGTGTTTTGAAGGGAGAAGGAAGAATTCAATTTCTTTGGATGTTTTAAGTCTTCTGGTTTGAAAACAGGACTTTAAAATATTGTAAACTTAGCACCATTTTGTAGATCATGGGTTCCATAACTTTGAGCTCGTATATCTCATTTCCTGAAAGAGATACCAAAACGTTGTCAACTGATAATATGTGCATCATATTATAAGAAATATTTTATTAGTTTACTACTCTTTGATATCTTCAACTGGAAATGGGCTCAAGGTTGTCGATTCGATTTAGGAAAATTTCCGTTTCGCAGATTTCTAACAGATCAAAATTTTGAACCATGCACCCCAATCAAATCTCATTTCTCTTCTTTCTCTCCCATTTTCAGATCCTTATTCGTCTTTTCTTCTTCTCCATATTTTCCAAATGTGTTCTTCTCTTTTCTCCAGCTCCTGTCCCCCCACACATTCACAGAATCCTTCTTCCCACTTAGCATATTCCGTCCCTTTTTTCCTTCAGCTTTCTTTTCTCTTATCCTTTCTTCTTCTTTTTTAAGAAAAGCCTTGTGTTTATTCAATTCTTCTTATCCGCACCCTCCCTTTTTCTTACCCATCTTTTGCTTTTTTCTCTCTCACATCTTCTCTGAATCTATCTTTTTCTTTTATGAGGCTTCTTCTCTGGAATTCTGAAAATGAATAATTTTCAGATGCCTCTATAATGCTCACCGCCATCTACAATATTTCTTTGTTCTTGTTTTTTAGTGAGTTTTTAGGAAATACCGCAAAACCTGTAATAGAAGAGCCCGACAAGTTTAAGCTTTTTTCGGTTTCTGTAGGAGATATCAAAAAAGTGTCATCTGATAATATGTTTGTGATATTGTGATAAACAATTTATCAGTTAACAAGAAATTTAGAAATTTAGAAATTTAGAAATTTAGAAATTTAGAAATTTAGAAATTTAGAAATTCAGAGATTCAGAAATTCAGAAATTCAGAAATTCAGAAATTCAGAAATTCAGAAATTCAGAAATTCGGAAATTCGGAAATTCAGAAATTCAGAAATTCAGAGATTCAGAAATTCAGAGATTCAGAAATTCAGAAATTCAGAAATTCAGAAATTCAGAAATTCAGAAATTCGGAAATTCGGAAATTCAGAAATTCAGAAATTCAGAAATTCAGGGATTCAGAAATTCAGAAATTCAGAAATTCAGGGATTCAGAAATTCAGAAATTCAGAAATTCAGAAATTCAGAAATTCGGAAATTCAGAAATTCAGAAATTCAGAAATTCAGAAATTCAGGGATTCAGAAATTCAGAAATTCAGAAATTCAGAGATTCAGAACAAATTCAAAATTCAGAAATTCATTTTCAAAAACCGGGATTCTGTGAAATCTGCAAAATTTCTCATCAAACTTTTTCTAGTTCTTGGACGTGCAAAAAGAAGAAAAAATAGACAAGTTCAAAGCTTGGGGGTCACTAATTGGTTCGCCCCTTCTAATTAATGGACTTTTGTGAAAATCAAAAGATGTAGATTTACCCCCAAAAACAAAAACTAGCTATACAATATTCCCTCGGGGTCCGACTTTTCGATCGAGAGAAAAAAAAGTGAATCATTTTGATTTGTTGATGCTTTTGAAGTTTCTTTTCTGGTTCGATGCGGAAGAGAAAAACAAAAGGAAATGACATTTTTTGGTTGAGATGAGTATAAAATGGAACCCATTCGATATCATTTCCCATGGGAGAAAGTGATGGGAGACGAAAGTTGGGGGAAATAGACTAGGCTTGAAAATCCAGGGCTGAAAATATGTTAATGTAATACCTGTAATAGAAGTGCCCTTCTCCCCGTTGCTTTCAACTTTGAGACAATTTTTCTCGGTTCCTTCAAAAGATATCAAAATATTGTCAACTAATAAATTGTTTATCATAATATCAGAAGTGTTTGATCAGTTGACACATTTTTAATATCTTTCACAAGCATCGAGATAATTGATCTCAAAGTTAAGAGGTCGGAAGCTGTACCAGGCCTGTGCGGCAACAAAATTTTTTCGCCAATTCGGCAACTCGGCAATTTGCCAAATACTTTTCGGCAACGTTCGGCAACTCGGCGATTGCCAAAAAAAAATTTCGGCAATTTTGGCAACAAAAGTTTTGCGTCTTTTTTTTAGTAAAATCGATACGTAACTCACATGAAAATGCTTCTATCAGGCTCAGAACTACAGAAAATGTGTTTCATAAGTTCCTTAAAAAAGTAATTACAAAAATTGGCAACTCAAGACCACATTTTTTATGCAAACTATTTCTCTTTAGCAATAGAGGGTACTCCAATGGTTGAAAATATTTGTTCCGATTGTGAGTTTTGAAAATAGTGCGCTCAACTTGTTAGGCAACTCACGACACACGTTCCCTAGAGATTTGAGACAGATTGGATAATTTTTAGAGGAGTTGTGACTCATGATATCTATTTTTCTCCTATGCTCACAAATTTAAAGCCCATTTTTAGATCCGATGCAAGTATTTTTGATGATTATTGGGACACATTTCCTCTAAAATTCACTCTGAGGGATGATGGTGTTCAAAATTTGATTATTCGAACTTCGAAATCATTTTTTTGACTAAAAAAAATTGTGAAAATCTCTAAATTCAAAAAAATTTCAGTTGCCGAAATTGCCGAAATTTTTTTGCCGAAATCGGCAACTTTTTCTTCGTTGCCGATTTCGGCAACGGCAAATCGGCAACAAAAATTCGGCAATTTCGGCAATTTCGGCAATCGGCAATTTGTTGCCGCACAGGCCTGAGCTGTACCAGAACCTGTAAGTGCAGAGGAAGTAAACACTTTCAAAATCTCAAATACTGAAAAAATAATTCCAGACGGCGCCCATAGTACCCAACTATCTTCTCGAGCCGATCAAAATGTGATGCGTCTATATCGTGATCTACTCTACGACTATAACAATGAAATCCGGCCATCAGTCCATCCGAAAGAACCCATAAATGTCACTTTTGTTTTTTCACTGACTCAGATTATTGATGTGGTAAGTGTTGTACACTTTGAACTCAATTATCGCGGCTCCTATGAGAGATATCAAATTTTTTTCAACTGATAAAATATTTTTCATTATATCAGAAATATTTGATCAGTTAACCAATTTTTGATATCTCTCGCATGGACCGAGATAATTGAGCTCAAAATTCATAGCATTTACGCTAGCTTTCAGGACGAACGAAATCAGATTCTAACGACTAACAGTTGGGTGAGGTTGCATTGGGTGGACTATAAGCTTGTATGGGACCCCAGGTTGTATCAAAATGTGACAAGATTGCATATCCCTAGTGATAAGATTTGGAAGCCTGATATTATATTGTATAATAAGTGAGTTTTTTGAATTCTTTAGGTTAAAAAGAGAAACAATTTTAGCGCCGACGCTCAGTACATGAAATCAGTAATGTCTACAGATGTGATAGTAGACTATCTTGGAAATATACACTGGCCATTATCAGCAATTTTCACATCATCATGTCCATTAGACGTCAAGCACTATCCATTTGACAGACAGACTTGTATTCTGAAATATGCTAGCTGGGCGTATGATGGAACGAAGATCGATTTGTTGTTGAAATCGGAGCAAGGAGATATCACCAACTACATTACCAACACCGAGTGGAGCCTAATTGGGATCCGTGCTGAGAAGAATCAAGTGATCTACAGCTGCTGTCCAGAACCCTATCCATTTATCGACGTTCATGTGACAATCGAAAGGAGAGCAATGTTCTATGTATGACCTAATTCTCCTTATGACCTTTTTTCTAGATCACCAAACGTTTTTCAGGTGTTCAATTTAATTCTACCATGTGTTCTGATCAGTTTGATTGCTTTGATGGGCTTCTACATGCCAACAGATTCTGGAGAAAAAGTTACACTAGGAATTACATCGTTGTTATCGACCACTGTGTTCCTGATGCTTGTAGCTGAGGGAATGCCACCAACTTCTGAAGCACTTCCACTTATTGGGATCTATTACGGAGTTACCATTATGTTGGTTGCCTTGGGTACCGCGATGACGGTGTTTACGGCGAGTTTTCGGTTTCCGTACATTTAGTTTTTAGAGATATGGACAATGGGGATCTAAACTTAAACTGGAACTTTTCCAGGTCAACATTCATCATACCGGAGTCCACGGCTACCCTGTACCACCATTCCTTCAGATATTTGCCTTCCGGTATCTTTCAAAAATTCTATTCGTTCGAATAGAACCATACCACTCCATTGCCCATCATGTCAGGCATATGTATCAGGTACCACCTCCCTAGGTTCAAACTCGTCAACTGGCCGGCTGATAACACGCTTCACAATTGAAATTGTGAGCAAAATATCATACCAGATGATGAAACTCGGATAGCTCTACAACCTTTAATAAGAATCGATGAGCTTTAAAACGGTATTGGGTCCGAGCAGACGATTTCTGTTGAATGTTGGTCGGTTATTTATTCAAAAACTAGTCGATTCTATTTAAAGATTGTAGAGCTTACCGAGCTCTATCATTCGATATGTTTTTTGTCCACAATTTCAATTTTGAACCGGCTCGTCGACAAGTATGACTAGGTTATCCAGTATCTAATACTTTTTCCATTTTCAGAAAGAACACCCCAACGAGTGTACATTATCGGCTGGCTTACACTATAAAAGACTTCAGGATTTTGATACAAAGCAGGTCAAAAAGCAAGAAGAGTGTGGATTGCAGAGGGATATGTCAAGTAAGTTTGACTTTTTGGGTCATCTCATTTTTAAAAAATTTCTAGATCTCTCCGTAATTTCTGCCAACGTGCATTGCAACCCTGACGATCGTCTTCTGCTATCCACAAAATCTTCCAGAAACATTGACCCGGAAAAAAGTCTCCGATCCTCGTTATCGATAAAGTCTGCATCACCAACTGTCAAGAAGAAGGTACACCTACTAGATCGAGAATTCGGAGTTTTTTAGATTTTATAGTTTCTTAAAAAATCCCTTTAGGGTCATATACGAGTATCGAACTATTCTCATCGAAACACACCAAGAATCATGGAGACTGATGTGTCTCATTTGGTAAACTAAGTATAGTTGCTTCTTTTTTGCTTTTCTATCGCTTGGAATTGAAATTGCCTGGCTTTCTTTCATATTCTGAAAAACGACAGTATTTATGGAAAAGTACAAAAATGAAGCTATATTTTTGTATTCCAATTTCCAAAAGTTTAAAAATAATATGTGCTTTGCTTTCTGCTTTTTTTTCTAGCTTTCTCGCTTCTATTACCATTCTATCCAAGGTTCTGACCCAATTTAGGTCTCCTTCTCTTCTCTGAACTCTCACGAAACCCCCATAGACTCTCCAATCTACGGAAGAAAATTGGGACGGACCCAATCACAAACTGCCACGTCATCTCATAATCGGAATTCGAATGGAAACGGTGGGATCACTTCGGAATCCCATCCTCCTCAAAATCCTCCGAAGATTTCACTAACCGACGTGGATGATGTATTTGAGAATGAGCAGCAACCGGTGGTAGATGAATTTGAGAAGGAATTTCTGAGAGTCATGTCTATGGTGCATGGAATCATTGAGAGAAATGAGATGAGGGTGGCTGAAAGAGACAAACGGGATGCGATTGCGTTGGAGTGGCAACAGGTGAGCGATTTAGTGGAAAAAATATGTTTTATAGGAACCGTAGCTACTGTAGTTTCTGAGATATGCGCCTTTAAAGTTAGTGCGCCTCCCTTACGCCTGGTGTGCCATGAGGGAGTGCCAACTTTAAAAAAACTCAAAAACTACAGTACCTATGGAAAAGTGGTTGACTACA